ACATATATGGTTACTTGTGAACTATATGTCACATATTAAGTAATATAGTTAATTAAAGTAGATACGGCCACAAGGGTGTTTTTAGATTTATACTTAAAAGTTTATTTCATACAATATATTATATTAATATATTACTAATATGTATTGTAATGGATACATTAGTGCATAATATTTTTAAGGTAGGAACAAATCCAAATATTGTGGAATAAACATTACAGTGCAGATGAATTCATTTTTTCAGTGTATGGCGATTTTACCATATCATTCGAATTTTAAATGATTCCGTATAGACTCGATATAAAGAGTATGAAAACTCTTGAACATAATATGACAAAACTTTCAGGTGTATACAAAACATTCATGTACATATTGGTTACTAAGACAAAAACTTGAAACAAAGTTATTACATTAAACTTCTTTCTAACATCAAACAAACATCTGCAATTGCAATCATTCAAGATCATTAAATAAAACAAATGGTGATTAAAAATTTAAAATGGTTAAATTATGGTCAGTTATAGAAACAATGGTTATTTTATAATTTATTTAAGTAATAATGGTTGGTGATCAATTATATAAATTACGATTAAATTATTTTAAATACTTAGTACAGAGTGATAAATGCGAAAACACAAAATTCTTATTGAGACCCGTTTAAGGTTTTTTAAAAATGGTATAATTTTAGAGCCTCGAACAAAATGTTCAAATCTTAAGAATTTTTAATTATAAAATAATTTGTATATTTTTAAGAATTTGACAAATTTTATCAAAATTTAAAATTGAAACGCTTATAAAAAAATATGAATTGTATATATTTTTTATTGGAAAATTAAAAATTTTATCAGGAATGTTGTATTAAATTTTCAAACATTTTTAGCCATTTATATATTTTTTATTAATAAAAAAAAAAAAAATAATCAAAAATTAAAGTTGTCTATAAATAACTATGAAAAAAATAAAATAAATTTTGAAAATTATACTTTACATTTATAAAAAATGATAAAATTAACATTTGATGAAAATATTATTCATTTTGAATTATCATAAAATAAAAAGTATTTTTAGTCAAAAACTGACTTTGCGTAAAAATTCCAGTTTTTCCTTTTTTGTTTATTTTTGCCAATTTTAAAAATAGTATTGATACTAGATCCAATTTTCTATCTAAAAATATCTTCAAAATTGAAAATTGAAATAATTTATCGACTATTCTTATCGTGTTTATTAACAAAAAAAAAATAAAATAAATTTATCATCGTAAAATCAATATATTCATCGTTCTGTTTTAAATCTAAAATAATGATCTATATTTATTGTGATCCAAACTTTATTATCAGATAAAAAAAATATCCTCCATTTTTAAAATTGAAACAATAATATTTATATTGTATGAAGTATGTAGCTTATGATTTATTTATTTATAATTTTCAGGTTATGCGCCACTTACTCCATTTATGTCGACGATGGCTAAACAACGTGGCTATTCGTCATTTATTGTTGGTTTCATTTTTGCTTTAATGCCGATTCCGAGGTTATTAGCTAAATTGACTTTAGGAAGATTACGGATAAATTCAATTGTCGCCGGATGGCATTTGTTTTAATTACATTTTTAACGTTATTATTGATGCTTGTAATCCTGCTAATACCTGTCACAAATGTTAAATACTAATGAAGAAATGAATGATTCAGATGCTATTAGGTCATCGTTATTTTGGTTATTTTGGATTACAATTACTTTATTTTCAGCGACAGCTATGATGAAGAATGTTTTGGAGGATACAATTTGTATGGATTTATTAGGTAAAAACATTTGTTTATACAGATAACCAAGAAATGTATTTATCTCTTAATATTATATTTAATACAACCAGTTATCATATAATAATTACTAATTAAATCATGTACAAAAGCCTAATGTGGTTCAAGATCCATATTGCATATGTCGGTGTTTAATTACAAGAGAACGGAATTTGTATAAATATGAAAACAAAACAGTCAAAATACATGGTTGTTTAAAAAAAAAATGGGAAATGTTGTCATTAAATCATTTTTTTTTTTGTTCTTACGAATGAATATTGTTATCTAATAAAATATATATATTGTAATTAATTAAAATTTTAGCTGAATTTTAATGTTTTTTTTTATTTTTAATTTACATACAGAACTGCAGTAAATTTCAAAATATTAGTAACTATAATAAATAAAAATATATTTATATATATTCAAAATTTCTCAAGATATGAAAAATATCATGAAAGCTATTATTATTTCAAATTATTTTTACTCATATATATTTTTTAGAATAATTTATTTGAGACAGGTATAAATCGTAATATAGTATAGAAACTATAAATAACGTGTATAGAATAACAAATAAAGCATATTTAACTAGAATTTAATAATAAATTATAAAATTATATTATAAATTATGAACAACTATTTATCAATTAATGAACAAATAATGTTAACGTAACATAAGAATACGACGTGGTATAAGATTAATTTAAAACCGCGAAGGATATATTTAATATGGATAGGATATCTAATGATTTTCGTAGACAAAAAACGACAAATTTTTTTTTTTGGTTTTATTTTTAAATCATTTATTCCCATTTTACACTAATATTGAAAAAAAATGTCTAATGTTTTCTAGACTATATAATATATTGTTACTCAATTCATTATTAAATTTATATTTCTGTCTTGTTCATAGAGTTTAATCTTATACATTATTAATATTTAAAAATATATTATTACTGTTGCTAAGAAATCATATTTGAATTTTCGAATTTTTTCACACGCTTAATTACGTTGGTAAAATTATATATTCTTAAGATAATTGAGCGACAATGAGTTTTTAGAAACATATAATCTAATGGTATAGGCAAATCAATTAATTCGAAACAAATTATTCTAACTACATGACCATTAAAATATCTGATGTATAGTATATTAATATAAGTATATAGGATATCTAAACGAAAAAAAGTTAAAATATAAAAAAAAATCTATTAAAATATCATGACTAGAAAATCTTGTTATAAATATTTGTCTAGATTATTTTTTTGTTGAATCTAATTTTGTGTAATTTTATGTTTTTTTTTAAGGTGAAAACAAACATAAATTTGGAGTGCAGAGAATGTGGGGATCCATTGGCTATAGTTTATTAGCTTTTTTTTTTCTGATGTTTGTGTAGATTGGTATAGCAAAGAACAAGAGTTCAAAAATTATACACCTTGTTTCGTAATTTCATTGATGTGTTTTATTTTGGATATAATTGTGGTGTTAAAAATGAAGGCTAAATAAATTTCGTTTAAATAATATTTTTATTACGTATTGATAATCATACATAGTTTTAGTTTACAGGTTTTACAACAAAGTCCATACACCAAGAAGGTGTCATCGGATGTCAAAAAATTGTTGACTGAAGTTAGAATTTTAGCTTTTCTTGTTTGGATTTTAGTATTTGGGTTTTTCATTTCGTTCATATGGAATTTTTTATTCTGGTAAACAACAAAATCTATATTTATTATTATTCATAATTATTTTAATAATAGTGATTAGAAGAATCGTAATCGGATTATCCAATTTAAATTTTCTTAAAAAAAATTGAATTGTAAGTGTATTTTATACCTAGTTATTGTGGAAGTATATTTTTAATTAAATTAAATTAAAATAAATATTTAGTTTATTAAAATGTTTATAATTAAAATATAAACAATTATTTTGATATTAGATTGCTGTTAGTAGGTATTTGGATCGCAGTTCTAAATCATTGATTGAAATGTATATCTCAGACATTAAAACATATATATTTACATTAAAATTATTACTTGTATACTCAAACTTCGATAGTCTATTAAAATCTATGTTCAATAATATATTAAATAATACATTCGAGTATATAATTTATTAATATTTAACTTTTAACCAATTTATTTAATTATACTATGTTAGAATGTTACATATTATAATATGTAATAATTAATAGGTACCTGGAAGACTTATCGACTTTTTATCATCCTGAAATCTAATATTGTAATATATAACCTAACCTTGGATTTAGACGCTTCAAGGACTAGCTATATTAATCCGATGTTTCGGTGGTGAAGTATCATCATTCTTTCTATCGGGTAAGGTTATTTGGCCGATCACATATTTTAAAAACTGCTTTGAAACCAACAAATGTGTGGTTTTTTTTTAGGTTTTATACTGAAACGTGTAAGTCACATGAACGTATTTTCCATAATGTTTTTTATGTACGTGTTAATATTTTTTTTATTATAATATAAATATTATGAATCTATTACCAGATTATAAAAAAATAAAAAAAAATAAAATTATTCGTTTCATTTCTTCTATGTATTAACTGTTTATACTTGTTCTTAAACAAATGAGACAATAGGTAAATTGTAGAATAATATTTGTAATAGGGATTTGAATATACTTTGTATTGCGAATACAAATAAATACACACTATAGATTATATTAGAAATTTGCTATACTTGAACAATGCTCAGTAAAAAATAGTCTTAAAATTATTAAAACCAACAAACATCGATTACTTATATCATATATGGGATTAATAGTTTAAGTTTATTTTATAAATAATTTTATTTTGTTATCATTAACATTATTTTTTATTAACTGAAGGACGTCAGGTCATTTAATTACTACTACAAAAAATAGCATAAATATTATAAAAATGTAAATAAGTACATTTTATCATTCAATTTATAAATGTTATATCTTATATGAATAAAAAATTGCAATACAATGTGTATTTACTTGATATCGTTTAATAATAATATTATCTATTGATTTTATAACATAATATTTATAGGTATTATGTAAAGTATGAATGAGGACCTAGATATTTTATTCAATTATCAATTGAATTCGAAAAAGAGAAGTAATGATGAACATAATTTTTTTATTAGCAATGTGGTAAATTTTTTTAGTTATTGTGAACAATATTATTAAATATAAATTACATTTTAAAGATGTTTGAAATAAATGTTGACCGAAAACTGATACCAATGAAATTGAATTATTTCATATTATTTGGATGTAAGTATACATATCGATTAAATGAGTGATTTTTTCAGACAATGGTGACACATAAAAAAAAAATTAAAAAAGGATTTTACTATGCTGCAATAGAGTTGTGTATCTTGTCATTAAGTGGGTTAATGTAATGGGTGTGTTAAATTTGATTTTAATAATAAATCATTGTGTACGAAAACATTCTGTGTGAATGAATTCATGGTACCTATAAAAAGCTAAAAATTAAATTTAATATACTTAAAATCTAATTAGGTATTATTAGTTAATACATTTGAACCTACTAGCAAATAGTTTTAAATCTTTATGAATAAGTGTTATTTGAATAACAACAATTTTAAACATTATTTTGTATTCTAAGCGGAGCATTAAATGCATTTATCTTATAATGTGTTTATTTTTTTTTTTAATTTATGTAAAAGATAAAAAATTGAAAATGCTTCAATTATCCATTTTGAGGATGGTTTTGGATAGAAAATTGAATCTAGTTTGTACTAGAGGAAGTTAAAATTAAAAATATTGCAGTATTATTCATAATAATCAATTAAAACAAAACAAAAAAAAAAAAATAATATGATAATTTATTTATTTATTTTGATGTAAACCAAAGAATGAATAACCTTAGATGTTTTAAATTTGTCACTTAATAAATAAAAGATATAAACAATTTAAAATTATAATATTTTTTAATAATAAATATTTAAATTTTAAATGTTGACAAAACTGAAATCTCAAAAATGAATTAGTAGTTAGAAATAATAATTTTTTATACATAAGATTAAATTATTTTTACATAAAAATTTCAATTTTTTTCATATTTAACTTAAAAATATAGCATGAAAGTTAAATTAATTTTTGTACATTAGCAGTTCTAATTTTTATGACATTGCATATTTATATGTAAAACAACTATAAATTCTTAAATGATTTTTGATAATTTGTTATAATCAAATAATGAATATCAATAACTACTTGAAATGTTCACCAATTATTTGTATTTCCTACCAGTGTATAATTTTCTGAATATTTTAATTTTTTTGAAAAATTTAAGGTATATATGAGAAAAAAATTTTGATATTTTTAGCTTTTTTTTTTTAATATATAACAATAGATTATTTACCAATGAGTTTTTTGATACACTTCCTCAAAATCACGAGAGCTTGCAAATTATTTTGCATTGAAAAAACTTGTAAAATGTATAATTTTTATAGTCAATGCTTATACCTTCAATACTAAGTTTCTTGTAAGTAGTTCATATTGAAACCAATAAATTTGAACTTCAAATGTGCATGACAAATTTTTCTTAGATATTTTTGATATTTTAAAATATTTATAATTAAACATACTACTGTTATAATTATCTTGTTTTTTACCCTTTGGATTGAGTTTAAATATTTTTCTCAAAGTTTATAAAAATAGATTTAAATTATTTCGAAAATTGTAAATAACAATAGACCGCTTAATTATGTATTCGAAGTACTTTGAGAGTTTTTATTTACGCAGTAAATGATAATTTTAGTAATAATGAACGTGTTAAGTATTTTACTCTATGAATTTTGTTGAAATATAACGAAAAATAAAAAAATAGCTTAGGAATAAACGTTGTCAAAATTGAACCTCATTCGATCAATATATATATACTAAATTGTTTTCTCATTTTTCACAAAAAAACTTTATGGATAATATTATATTAAAATTAAACTCTTAGGTTTAAAATTAAAAAAAAACAGGCAAGTGGGCACCGCTCTGCTGTACATTAGGGGGTGGGGTGAACCTCGGACTAATGTAGGTTAAATTTGAATGCAATGATAGGTATCATTGTACACGAAAAACGATTCTGAACGGAGATGATTGGTCAGTCCAGGATATATTATATTTAAATATTGTCATACATTCTATTTTGAAACAAATATTTTATTTTTTAATTAGTTCGCATTTGCAAAAGTCATGGTTAATCAATTAATTATTAATTTTTATGAATTATACCTACAAAATAGTTTGCAAATATTCATGGTTTTGACGAATTTTTGTCAATATTTGAACTTCAAATGCTAATAAAAAAAAATTGTGCTTATGTATTCTTAAAACTTTTTGATCATTATAAGAATAACTTATGAGGATTACATGTTCAAGTATTTTGATTGGGCAAAAAATATTTAATTGACACTTCAAAAAAAAATTTTTAGAAAAATTGAAAATTTCAGTTGTCTATAAATAGCTCAAAAAAAGTCAAAATATTTTGAAAATTAAATAATGTGAAGAAAATGCCAATCTAAATAACTGGTAAAATTTTCAAGTATCTACGACTTATATTTTTTGAATATTAACAAATATTTAAAATCGTTTGAGGATAAATTGTTATCGTTACGCTATTTCGTAAAAATTTAAAATTCAAACGCACTTAAAATTTTTCCTATAATGATGTTTCGAGATTTTACTATAGCTACTTGAAGAAAAACTTAGGGAAAACATAGTGTAGTATTTTTAATCCTTAGTTATAAACACAAAAAATTTTATGATTTTTCAATTTCAAAATTACTTACAAATTTTCGCGTTTTCGATAGATTTCGTAAATATTTGAACATAAACGTTTATAAAAAAAATTGTGACTAACGATTTTTAATTTTTTTTAGCTACAATAAGAAAAACTCATAAGGAACCTTGTATTCAATTTTCAAAATTTTTTGGTCATCCAACATTTTTTTACCGACACTTCAAAAAAAATTTCTCATAAAAATCGATAATTTCAGTGGTCTATAAATAACTCAAAATAAGTCAAAATGTTTTGAAAATTAAACTGTATATAAATAATACTAACATAAACATTTGGTGAAAATTTCAAGTATTTACAGTGATTAGTTTTTGAATTACAACCATATAAAAAAATCGATTTGGTCAAAAACTGGTTTTGCGTAAAAATTCCCGTTCCGTCATTTTTTTTTTCTCGATTTTTTTGAAAACTGTTGGAAAATGTTTACTTTTTACCTCTATAATGCACCAAGGATATTCACTTTGCCATCGGAAACCACCCCCGAAGTTTGAAATTGAAGCATTATTTCAACTACTTATGCTGTACACAGACACAAAAAAAAAAAAAAAAACACACACATCATTGTAAAATCAATACAAAAAGTTATGAATTGTTCACTTCAAAGTAATTTACATTGCTTGTGTTTTTTTTTTTAATATTTAGTGAAAAACCTAGTCTACGATGCGGTTATGACGCAGTTACAAAAAAAAAAAAAACACTACACACAATATTCATATATTTTATTATATAATTATGATGTAATTGGCAGTTTTAATATATTAAAAAAAAAAATAAACGTAATTATGGATCAATATTAAATCGATAAATTGGTAATATTATATAGGTATTAGAAATATTTTCATAGTATTATCTATAAGGACTATAAGAACATTAGTAACTAATTATTAACAATGAGTTAAAAAAAAAAAAAAACTGATAAATTGTTAATTGCTGATTATCTAATAAATTTTATAAGCATAACTATTATAATCCTTTATTTTTGTAAATACAAACATCTGATTATAGCGTGTTTAATAAATTTAAAGACCGGAATTTTACGCATTTGCATGATTATACTAAGTGTATGCATTTATATGAGGACATTTTTATCATTTGCATAAATTTAAAACTTTGACAAAAATGTCCAAAGTACGTAAGAATCTCAGGTGTTTGATAAGTCAGTGAATTGAAACATATAATAAAGACACTATTGTATTTGAAGCTGATGGAAACGCAGTTTATTGTTAGGTATGCTACCGTCGAGTACCGTATAAAAAAATTGCAAATAACACAACGCGTTCATACATTTTTTCATACTGATTCTTTGAAACTAAGTCCAAATGAAAAAAAAAACAAATGCTATTGGATAACGTTTTCAAATCTAAAACCAATAATTTTGATGAAAATCTCTGAAGCAGATATTAGATTTATTATTCGAAAGAGAGTAATTGTCCAACCCCCAAAATTTTACACAATTGATGAGTATTTGTATGAAGTTTTCTCCTACTATGTCAATGGACGTTAAACGATCTTTTATACATATAAAATTATATTTACTGAAGAAAGAACACTCATGACCCCACATATGGAAAAGTATATTGTAATTAATTGCTATGAAAACAAAACAATGATGGTTTTTTTTAATTTTAATATTTGTTGATTAGCTTAGATGTTAAAAAATCCAACATTTCTAATTTTTTTATATTTTATTTATTCTAATGTTTGTATTTGTTTAAAGAAATATAAATTTATGATGCATATTTGAGAACATTTTAAAACTATTTGTGCATATTAAATGCATATTTTGATTCTTTTGCTTTAAATAATTTCATCGTATTTGTTAAACTTTTAAAGCATATAATTTTGGTCTTTAATAATAATCATTCATATACATACTTTCATAGAATTTAAATGTGATTTTTGTTATGTCCGTCTTCAGATAACTGAACTCGTGTACTACGCATAATATCTAACAAAATTATTAGTATTCTAGATTGTAAGTATTCAATATTATGATAATGTTATGCATTTATCATTATTTTGACACTATTTATTTTCCTAGAATTTAGATGAATGGACTTATAGAGTTCATGTTAGTTAATATATTATCATTCATACAACAATTTTTATATTTATTTATTATTAATACATTCCTTGTTATTTATCAAGAAAATCTGAGAATTAAGCACAATTTAATTAAATACTAAATTAATTATAACTCCCTGTCGATTAGTATATTCTAATAAAACCTTACGATTTTTAGGTAAAAGATCTTTATAATAATTTTAACTTTAGGAATTTGAATGGCTATTATTTATGTAATGTCCTTAATTATATTTTTGATATAGATTTAAAATATTTTTCACCATCTCATATATATTAAATTATATCTCATATGTAATCTGCAAAGATGGACTAGTTAATAAAATTAATTAACTCAAATTAAGTTAAGTTAAAAGAAAATAAGATCGATTATTTAGAAATTAACTGATAAAAAATTATGAATTTAACTTGATAAGTTAAATTTAATTTAGAAAAAAATATTGATTAATTAAGTTTAGAAATTAGTATTGCAATTAATATGTAAATCATATAAAGAGTTATTGCGTCTTTTTAATTTACATTATACAGTGTAAATACCTTTTTATTTGACATAATTTATTATTTATTAATTTAAGATATACTCATTTCAAATTAATAATTTGACAAATATTTTTTTTTAAATATAATACAGCAAGCAATTGAAGGTCATATAACATTAAATCAATACAATTTATAATTTATAATTTTATTAAAAAAATGTCTAATATAAGCGCAAAAAGCTAAATTATTTCAAATGTCAATTAAACTACTTAAGCTCATAAGTTAATTAGAAAACAAACTAGCTAGTTAAGTTAAAAAGTTAAAACTTAACTTTAATTATTTAACTAGTTAATGCCCTCCTTTGATAATTTGAAAATACTAACTATATAAAATTTAATTGAAAAATGATTATAAATGTCGTTTTTTGATTATGATTCAACTTAATATTTATTTAAAATTGTACACAATACGAATCTCTATAAATAATTATTTATTATACCCAATTTAAATAATATAATATGATAATCGTTTTAACGATTAAAAATGTGTATTTTATTGTGCTTAGGTGTAGCATAATATTTTATTTAAGTTGCTGTAACCACTGAAAGTTACGGTTTTGGGGCAGTATTGTTTGTTGTATTAATTTTTTGGATGCAATTGATTGTTTAAGCTTATTTACTTTAAATATAATTTTATAATTGAAAGATTTTTTTTTGTACAGGTATCGGACCTCAAATAGGATATTTGCCTACGATAGCGAGACAATGGGGATACTCAATAACCACATACGGTGTGATTATGTCTTTTATGTCGATAGTACCTATGGTAGTTACACCTGTATCTGCTATAACAGTCGACAGATTCAATGTGAAAAAAACGTTATATTTTTTAGTTACATTATTGATAGGCGTGATTTCAATTTTTTTCTTATTTATACCAAAATTGCCTTTAGAGAAAGGCGTTGAAATGAAATGTGATTCAGAAATTGTTTTGATTGTTCATGCTGATAACGTTCAATCAAATATACAAAATGTATCAATATTTAATCACGAGAAGAATGACGAATTAATCGTATGCAAGGTGAGAAATATTAAAACATATATGTGCTTGAAACAATTGATACGATTTCATTTAAATAATTGTAGAATAATGATTGTTAATTTTTTTTCGATGTGTTTTTTAAAAGGCGTTAGTGTGATAAAATTAAAAAAATAAAATATACAGTGACTTACGACGATTAACTTAAATTAAAATTAAAATTAAATTTTAAATTATTGAAAAAATATATCATAAAACACTGTTTGGATGGCTTTTTTGAACATAATATTTTTTACATTATATAATTATTATACAATAAACTTTATGTATCTATAAATATGTTGATAAGGCTACTAATGCATTATATGATGCCTTACACTTTTGCATTTTAAACTTTGTTCCGGAAGTGTTTTTTTGTATCTTCGATAGTTCCGAAATGGTTTTCTAAAAATTTTGGACATATTGTTTTAAGCAAGAAACTGGCACATGTTAAGTTTAAAATTTCGCGCTGTCCCGTTAATTATGCGGTATTCTTTACACTTCGAGCTTCTTACAAGGCAGAATATAAGAAATGCCATACAGCCTTTCTGTCTCGCACTGAGTCTATGCTGAAATCTAACCCTAGGTCGTTTTGGGATTTTGTTCGAGCTTATAAATCTAACAACGAGATTCGTAACTTTGTATATTCTGAGAACTTACAAAGCTCGGGTACTGAGTTGTCTCTAATTTATTTTCCTTTTACTTCAATACAGTCTATGTTCGACCTTTGTCAAACTACCTTTCCTCTCCTTTTTTGTTCCATGACCTGCCTAGTATATTTGCTCATTCAGCATTGATGATATTAACGCAAGTCTAGATACTTTAAAAAAATGTAAAGTGCAGGACTTGATAGCTTGTCAGGTATTTTTTTGTATGATGTCTTTACTATGTTTTCCACTGTGACTATTTTTTAGGAGTTCCATCGAAACGGAGTTTTCCCTTCTTCTATCAAGATTAGCTCTGTCACTTCTATATTTAAACTCGGTGATAAGGCCGATGTCAAAAATTATAGATCTGTTTCGATTTTGAGCCACTAGTTTTGAGAATAATTATCCAATCGCTAATTAACTATTCTGATTGATGTGCAATGTGGGTTCAGACTTGGTCGCTCGGCCATTACAAACTTAATGGTTTTTAACAATTTTGTTTTGGAAGGCTGTTCATAAGTACATTTAAGTAGATGTTACTTTCACAGACTTTATTAAAGCTTTTGATAAAGTTAACAATGGCTGCTTAATTGAGACTTTGTAAAAGTCTGGGTTTGGTGAGCCACTATTGTCATAGTTCAAATCTTATTTGTTAGATACAGTTCAATGAGTAAATATATTCGACTGGAAATTCTCCATCTCTAAGGTTTCTTTTGGAGTTCCTTAGGGAAGACATTTATCTTCAATTTTATTTTTTATTTGTATGTAAATGGCATTAAGGAAGTTATCAAAAATTATAAACTACTTATGTTTGCCGACGGCTTTTTTTTAGAAAAATCGAAAATTTTTCTGACTACTCTGCGCTCCAAAATGATCTTAACGACCTGGTCTAATGGTTTAATAATATTGGACTACAGTTTAATGTAAATAAATGTCATTTTTAAGACACCGCTCTTCTATTAACTATACTTAACAATCAACAGTTCAAGTGTAACTTCTGTGGGTAGTAAGAAAGACTTAGAAACTATTTTTAATTCAGATCTCAATTTTCACTTCCACACACTGCTAAATGATATGTTGTAAAACTTTAAAAACGCTTGGATTCGTTATGCGCATACTAAAGGAGTTTAATCTGTCGTCTTTTTTGAAAACTATTTATTGCTCATTGGTCTATTCCTTATTAGAGTATGCATCTATCTTTTGGGACCCTTAAACGGTAACTGACTCCTATCAATTAGAATGTGTTCAAGACGATTCTTATTTTGTGCAACTTTTGTATTAAAAATAAACTATCCTCCCCGTGACTATTCCTTAGTTATGACGGAACTCAGTCTCATTTATCTGGCTGACATTCGAATTAACACTAACGTAGAGTTTTTGAAAATACTTGATGATGGTCGTATTGATGCTCCTATGCTTCTCTCGTTAGTTAAATTCAAAGTTCCTTCTCGCACTATTAGATGCCACGTTCCTTTCGTTGTTCCAGCGTACACTTCCAATTATGGCAGAAATAATCCGTTAGACTGCATGTTGCGACTAGCCAATGTGAGCACCATTTATCAAAGCTGATACAATTATAATTAGGTGTTATTATATTTAATATATACACATATACATTTACTATCATTATTATACTTATAATTACTGGAATTATTATCTTATATTAATTTATTTGTGTCTTTTGTATTATTATTTAAATTAGGATATTATTGTATTATGTTTTAAAATGCTGCATAGGGCTCAGCCTGTTAATAAATAAATGTATTAAATCACTAAGATGATAAAAATTACAAAAGTTACTTTTATAAATACGTGATGAAAGTATTTAAAATATTCTAATAGGATTAAATTATAATTACGTGACAATTTCTGCCATAAAAAACTTCAGTTAATATTTTTTTAATATTTAAACAAATTATTGAATTCATCTTATTCAGTTAATTTGTCAAAATACGAAGTTGGGCAATCATCAAATAAATCAGTTGAATAACCAATCTGATTTCTGCGATTATTGGACGACAGCCACCAAATATACCAAAAATACAAGCGAGAACGATCGTAATCGGATTGATGTTATATTTAAATTAAAAGATATGGAAGAAGTAATATTACCATTATCGTTTATTCATATTTATTTGATATTTCCTTATAAATATTTAATAAATTTGATTTCAGATTGAAAGTTCATTTGTATTCCATTTATTGTCTATCCAAATGAATGGTACGGAAATTCCTCGAACATGCAAATGTCATTTAAAATCATTTTGCTACATCACATGTTCTAATGAAGCTATAATGCGTGTGGCTACTATACCAACGTATAGGGGAAACGTTCTTAATTTGTATCAATTTTGGATTTTTTTTTTTTTACTATTGACGTCATGTTGTTGCATGAATATAGCAATAACTTTACAAAATCCGATTTGTCTCGATCTTTTAGGTTTAATAGCATTTAACAATAACAATGATAATATTAATACTGTAATCAAAATAAAACGTTCATTTACTCTTATTTTTAGAAGACAAACCTGAGGATTTCGGAAAAACAAGATGTTGGTCATCATTTGGTTGGGGACTTTTTTCTATATTCATTGGGTGGCTTGTAGATTGGATTAGTATTAATAAAAAGGAAAAACAATATTCACCAGTTTTTTATTCATGTATTTTACTTACAATTTGTAATTTATTTGTCATAAAAAAAATCAAAGTACGTCATTCCTAATTTTATACCATAAAATTAATCGGAATCAACTTAAAAAAACTTTAAACTAAAATATTTTTTTATCTTTAGTTAATTTTATTGTGTTTCAATTGACAGGTGATTGAAACAAAAAAATCCAAAGAAAAATGGAAAAGTGTACATGGATTGTTTACTAAACATTATGTGATTGCATTTTACATATGGTCAATATTCAGTACTTTTTGTCATACAATTATAACTCACTTTTTATTCTGGTAGGTATGTTTTCAATACATAGAATATAACTTTTAATACATAATTATTTAAATATTAGTCAAGTTTGTACCTATTTAACATTTAGATGCTTATTTCAAGAGTGATTTTAAGTATGTATAAAATATTATCATCCAAGGCCATACTTGGAGGGTGTTAGCCCCTACTCCTACCCACTCTCATCATGAAATTTTCTCGAATTACACAAACTTATAAATTTAAAATCCGCTTTTTTTATTATAAATAAATAATAGTATAGCTTAAATAATTGCAATAGAGGGTGATATGGGCATAGTGTAGTGGCGTGGTGTTTGGAAGCATTCACTGAATGGTACTAATGACTATAGTTGCCAAAGCATATTTAAAAAAAAATCTTGAGGTAAGGTTAGGTTAGAAGTAACAAGAGCAATCTTAATTATTACCCACATTCTAAACTATCTAATCTAATCATTTAGGTTATAATAATAATAGTAACATCTATAGTAACATCTCAATAGTATCCATGATATTTGGTACGTCGTGTGATGAGAATGTGTGTTATGTGTTGTAGTATAGTTGTGTTGTATGTCATGTATGAAAATATATAATGTATTAGGCGAGTATTAAGTAAATTTTGATGTAGTCCGGTCTTATACTAAAAAAGTAAATAAAAAAAAAATTATTGTTTGTTGTTGTATTATTGACAAGTACAATCTTAATAAGTCAATTTTTAGAGCAAAAATTAATGTTGTTATTTTAAAAGTTAAATTATAAGTTTCAACTGAATATTTGTACTGAATTCCTATAGTAAGTTTAAAAGTTTAACGATAAATATAGCAAAACATCTTGTATGAAAATTAAAAAGTAAAACACGTTCAATGTTAACGTTGGATACGCGCTGACACTCGGTATTGAAGAACCTGATCAATGTTAGAGGGTATCTGACGACTGTAATATGTATTTGCATAGTATTCTGAAATACTCAGCTGAGAGTGTATGACCATAAAATTTGGATCTTCGTAATAATTATGAAAAGGTTTTATTATTTTAAAATATTAGTATGAGGAGTAGCCTGATACGTAAGAATAACGTTGGCAAACAAATTTTTTTTACATGAACCACTCATTATTAAAAAAAAATATACCTAATATTTTTGAAAATATTTCTTTAATATAATATATAGTCGGAATAAAATAATTTTTAATTAAATTTACATTTTTAATTTTATATTTTGAAGAATATTTTTAAATATATTTTGGTAGATAAAAATCGAAATTTGGACGAACAGTTTTGAGTTATTAGTATTTAAAGTTTAAATAAATGGAATAGTAAATCAACGTTTTGTTGAGTCTCCTCGTATTGTTCCACTTCGCTCAATTAAACTTTAAATAGTTATAACTAAAATACTGCCTGAATTATGATTTTTTTATTACGAAACATTCTTAAAAATATTCTTATTAGAATGGAAATAAAAAATAAATGTTATCGTTCAAAAAAGTAAAAAAGTAAAAATGTATAACGATAAAAAATATAATACATTTTTTTTTATTGTTTATTATACAAAAGAAATATTTAAAAAAAATGTTAATAACTCTTGAAATAATGAGTGATTCATGATAAAAGAATCACCTTGTGTATTGTATTAGTTGTCTAGACTAGGTGTTAAGAAATTTGGGATCGGGTGGTAGTATTATGTTAAACAGTTCCCACCCGTTCCCAGTTTTTAAAAGGGGGGAAGGTATTAAGAAAGTAAATAACGCATTTGTGATATTAATTCAGTTATTAACTGATATATCACTTTTCGTTCCACAAGGAGCAATACTTTTAGATTGAATACTATGTGTCAATATAGAGTTGAATGAATTATTTTAAAACGCACAGTGCTATTATTAGACTATAACTTTTGACTTGCTGATGACATAATTTAATAATGTAATTATTATTAGTGATTAACGGCTGTCTATACATATGTATGAATGCATTCGTGTCCTATATATATTATATAACAAGTTAAGCATGTTAAAAATTTCTTAGGAAATGTTATGTAAAATTCCCTCGAATATGTTAGTATTGATTGCAAATTTTACAAAACAATATTAGTTTTTATAGTAATATAAAATTTTCTTAAAATATATTTTATTTATACATTAAAATACGGCTATTAATTATTCTGGTACATGGAGGATTTGGTTATTGTTAATAATGATCATAAACAACGAGCATGGATAAAAACACTTCAAGGTCTAGCACAAGGCATCCAATGTTTTGGTGGTGAAATACCATTTTATTTTTTGTCTGGTTGGATAATTAGAAAGATTGGTCACATTAACTGTATGGCTTTGGTGCTGGGATCTATGGCTCTAAGAATGTATCTTTACACAGTTATATGGAATCCAATCTGGATTATTGCTATTGAATTATTGAATGGAGTGTCGTACGCGTTGGGATTCGCGGTGAAAATGTCATATGCAAAAATGTTGGCACCTCCGGGCACACTTAACACCATTATTGGGTTTATTGGATTGTTCGATTATATGGGTATGCTATGAAACACATTTTATTTTGATTTAAGAACTAATATTTATTCCAGAAAGAAGTAGTTGGTTTTTTATTAACTAGATTTTAATTACTTAAAACTAACCACTTATTATGTATTTAACAAGAATTTTCATTAGATCATTTTAGTAATTGAAAAACTAACGTCTTATATCCTTATAACAGTGAGGTATTAAAATCCAAAATTATTTCTTTTTAAATTATAAAATACTTAAAATATACATACTGCATACACTACCTAAATTATATAAAAAGATTTTTACTTGACATTTAATTTTTTTATAAGGTAAAATAAAACATTCTTACCAAAAAAAACCACTTTGTTGGTGCTTACATTATTCAAAAATCATAATATCATTAAAAAATAAAATTACATTGAGAATGATTGTACATCACAAATAATAATAAAAAAAAACTAGAATAGTAATTATATTGAGGTAAATCTTTACATAAGATTTTTCAAATTGGTTAAGAAATTTTAATACTGGTTTACATAATATTTACCACTAGAGAATTCTCCATATTATAATATTTACATAATAATAATAAAAAAAAAAAAAAAAAAAAAAAAAAAAATTAAAAATACATGCATAAAGTGTGTATTATTATATGATTCCAGACAGCTACTAAGCTTTACTAAAATTTATTGTATACTTTTTAAATAAATAATATAATAATTTAATAATAAAAATGAGCATTATAAATAGAAAAAAGCTAATAATTAATATTATTTAATAATTTATAACATTTAGTAAATGTTATAAATAATTTAATTTTTCAATATTTTACGAGTACCTACGTAATAAAAATTATAAGCTCTCATCACGTGATGATAATTAAAATATATTTATAATATGTAATTGAAATTAGATAATATTTACATATTATTTCTATTAAAGTAAATATTTCTCGATAAATTAATTTTGACATTTTGTTTTGATTATAAAATACACGGAATTTTCACCCAATATACTCGTATTATATATATCATAATTTTCTATGAATGATAAAATTTATAAAAATATTCTATGGTATTTATAGGCATGCACATTTTTTGATTTAATTTTCAATTATTGTCAATACAAAATATTTCGTTCTTTGAAATGTCTTTAAAATTCAATACGCATCCCTAATAAGTTATTAACTATATAAAAATACATTTTTTGTGCGTTTAAAATATACAATTTTTGGTAATTAAATCATTATTAATAAAAATTATCTGCTTAATTAAAAACCTCTAAAATGTATTACAAAGTACCTTATGGTTCGTTATCAAAATTATCTAAAAATATTAAAGATAAATAAGTACGATTTTTTTTTATTAACATTAGAAGTTCAAAGTTAAAAATATTCATCAAAATTACTTATATTTACAAATTACTATAGAAGCCATAAACAAAACGCATGAAATCTTCAAATTTATAGATAAGATTTGAAAATATAACACAAGATTGGTTATTAGAAATTCAATCTTAACTATCTCATATATATACATATCCTGACTCACTGATTTATTATTACCTAGCCCAGATCACTGAAATTATGAATATGAATTTTGGTGAGTAGTTTTGTTTTATGACGTATTGATACACTAAGAAATGATTTTAAAAAATTCACATTTTAAAGAAGGAATCACCCAGAGTTTTATTATAGGCTCATAAAAACGGTCATTATTTTATTTACATAAGTTTGTCATTTGTTAAAAAAAAATTTAATGATCGCAGCTATTTAACAGTAAAGAGCTTTATCATAAAGATAGTACAAATAGGTGGTTACATACAAATTTGTACAATGGTTAATAAGTCTTGAATTTCAATATTATACAATAATTAAAAAATGTATTATTTATCAATTTAAATGTTGGTGAGTTTTTATGTCACAATGAAATCCTAAAACCTAATAATTTTTTTAAAGAGTATCCATAAACAATTATTTTTAAGTGATCTAATTAATAATAATAATAATAATAATAATAATAATAGAAATACAATAATATAAAGGTAACCTCCTTCTACAAAATAATATTTTTAATACTAAGAAACTGCACACGACCGAAGCTAGAATATTCTGCTAGTGTATTATAGAAAAATTTTGGTTTTGATTTTGAAAACAGTTTTGAAAATTTTCTAGTTTAGGTTTGGATTTAAGGATATGCAGAGAATGTTACATCTTTATGCGTAGTTTCAGTCTTAATAATGAACCACATATTAATTTCGGTTCAATATAACCAACTTTTTTTGGTTAGCTTTAATATTAGAGCCTATGATCAAACTTAAAGGTAGGAATATTATCGGTTATCATTTGTTGGTTTTTTATGATTTTTTTTAAGCTTTAAACAAATTATTAGTATGTTGAATATAAAATCCTCATAATTTACTTAAAAATTAAATGATTATATAAAAACAATGATAAATAACCGATAATATGTTTTTACTTTTAAATAAAATAATTGGCCCATTAATTCTAATATTAACACAAAGTGGTTTCATTGAACGCATATTTTCTAAGTTGAATGTTTCAAGAGCATTCAAATGTGAACATCAGATGCGACCATGCGGGTATTTATGATCTTAAAAAGTTAGGTTTTTAAAAATTATTGGTTTTCGTAATTGTTCTAAGCAAGGTTTAAAAATTAAACATAAAATGGTTTTGTTTAATTATTATTTTAAATATGTTAATAACATTTTTTAATGCAATTAACAAACTATACATATAATAAAACCCCTAATAGGTACTTACTTTTATGAAAAATATAACTCTACAGTCTACGTATATAATTTTAGTTAATTACTCCTTACGATTTTAATTTTGATTTTGCATTGATTTGTTAAATAAAAAAATTGCACGATTGATTTTAATATGGATTTTTTTTTATAGGTGAATTTTTAGGTTGTCTACTGGGAGGATATTTATTTGATTCATACGGTGGAATGTGGTCGTTTCGATTTTTTGCCTTTAGTTCAGCTTTTATGTGCTTTTTAAATATACTAAGCAATCGTTTCGGGTTAACAAGAAATTTGAAAAATTATAATTTTGTTTCAGTGTCAATGACAGAAAATAACAAATGTGATGACGTTGTTAATGAAAACTAATTTAATGTTACCAATTAAATTATTATATAGAAAATTATAAAATAAATATAATGTTATTGTACAGAACAATTTTTATATAATAAAATAATGAACAAAGTTTTACATTAGTATATTAATAACACTATAAAATATTTAAATGATTCATAAAACTATAGTTATGTTTGGTGAGAAAATCTACATATAATTAAGTTCGCTCACACCACTTTGTCCTACAGACTTCAACATACCATTAAATATAATTGTAAATAATTGAAAGTTTGACAATTGCAGATTTTTCATTTTTACAAACAGCTTTTTCTTTTTATATTGATGTAGTTTACGGACAGCAAATGATCATAGTATAAGATCAGGATTAGGGTTTAAATAACAATAACACTAATGCTCAGGTTTGCTGCAAAGTTTCTAGATTTTAAGATATAAACCTATATGAATTTAAAAAACCTAATAGTGAATCCAGTGGCGTAATTTCAATGTGTGTTAAACTAGAGAAATTATTCACTGTTTTAACGACTCAATATTTTTCTAAGTTTTGTATAAGATTTGTATAAGTTAAGGCCATAGTTGATGAAGGAGAGGGACGGATATTTTTCAGGTATTTGAAAGTCACACATAGGATTTGCCAAATTTCAACTGTCCCACTTACATACAATGGTCAGTTGGTTATCAGTAACTGGTAGATGAAATAATTAAAAATTTGTTTATTCATAAAATAACAATATTATGAGTTATGACAATAGCATTAGTAGTTAAAAATAAAATTTTTTAAAATTATTAATTATACCAACTTAAGTTTGATATAAATTTTAGACTAGGAGAAATGTTAAGTCTTTCTTCCCCAAATGACGCTACTGAGTAAAACCGCTATTGATACATTTAAAGAATGACACGAGTAATATGGAATTGGTGTCTTAGTTGAGTTCATATACGGTACAATAAATTGCGCATCGCACGTTTATTGATTGTAAACAAAGCACGGTATTGTTACATGTTATGTTTGTAATCATATATTAAGTTCCGAATGTTCTGATAAAGTTATTAATCTAATTGATAGAATATTCAGATTCAAGTAAAAAAGCTTACCTATTTATATCAAAGGTCACTGAATTATAAGCCAGGCCTGTGACACTGCACATTTTGACCAAATCGCGGGATCATTGTTTAAAACATGAATAAATTAACTGAGATCTAGGGTGCATGCTATTGACTATTATTACCACAAATATATATATTATAAATTAATGGTATCAATTATTCATGTTGAAACATAAAATTAATTACTTGTAAGTAGTAATTATAATAAAACATGGTTATAATACTGCTGATTAAGTTTTTCCGTTTTTGTAATTTTGTAACAAATAAGGATACATGTGTATAACATACTGTAATGATATTCACATTATTACGTTACAAAGCTTCATAATTAAATATCATATTATTCATTATCCATCTTAATGCTTAAGTAAATAACCATATTCATAAACAATATCATAACAATTAAAATTATATCAGTAATATCTATATTTATAATTATACTATATAATATTTAACTAATTACCAATAGCACCCAATATACATAGATATAATGTGTATTTACATACTACTATAATATATTAAAATATTCATCGTTTATGTTTAATGAAACCTAACTATAACATCTAAAAAGTTAATATATTATTATAAGGTAAAGTTTTATCAATAACTTTGGCCAAGCTTATTTTTGATTCATTAAAATACGTTGCTAACATTCTGTCAAAGTAGTGATTACGAATACTGTGTTATGAAACCGTGGTTCCAACACAAATGAATTTAACGCACGATTAGTTATTAATAATTTAGCTTTTATTACTGATTTTTTAACTTCACTAAATGTACAAAAATATGAAAATGCTCTGGTTCAACATACGTTATGTATAATGCTCTATTCTAAATACAACTGACTGACCTCTTCCCTATGTGTCGGCCTGCGACCCAGTCGGACGCCAAATCACCTAGTCAGCGAATTCCTGTCGACGAGCCGTTGACCAACACACTATTCCTACATTGCTAATATTATATTATGTGACAACATAATATAATATAATATTATTCAGGGGTTCACAACAACTGTTTAAAATTTCAGATTTCATACTTCATACTCAGTGATCGAATCAGCTTATCAAGTGTTGTATTTTTATGATTTTGTGATATTACGAGTCTACAAAGAATGTTTAATTTAAAATATATAAGGTTTAACAAATTTACAACATCTCCACGATTTTAATATTAGTTAAAATTTAAATTAAATTGTTTTTAAAAACAAAACAAAGTATTTTAGTTATTATTAATAATTATTTCAATGTTTTTTTTTTTTAATATTATAGATCCGACAAAAATAAATACAGAGTTGGTTGACTTAAATTTTCGATTAGGAGTACACAACGTGTTTCTTGAATGACCCATTAAACCATTTATCTAACTTAGTAAATGTTATTTGTTTACTAAAAGTCACATAAAAATCAAATAACTGAATGATATTCGAGTACATAATTTTTACTTCTTACACCATTTGGCGTTTATACGTGTTACAATGAGGAAAATAAGTGAGCTTCTTAATATTATTCTCTAAGGCTAGTTAAAAAATGTGTTTAGTACCAGACACAAAATTCTGCGGAAGCTTGTGTAATGAAAAAAAAACAGTCAGGTAATTAAGTGTGTTCTTAGTATGTTGAGTGCTATCTATGCACCTATTTGTATCGTGCCACCGGTAAAGCCGGTTGTAATGATATTCACATTATTATATCACAGCTTCATAATTTAACATCATCATAATATTATTTAGTAGTATTTAAATTATTCTTAATACTTAAGAAATATTTGTACCTTTGAACATAACCATGAAAATTAAAATTTTAAAGAACATTAATACTCATATTTACTTTAAAAACAAATTACATTACAATGCCCAACATTACTAGTAAAACATAATAATATCTGATTAATAATTATTATATAGTACTTATTAAATTTAATATTATACAAAAATATAGACAAAACTATTAATAACATTATACATATATTTAGGATGTAAAATGATCTCAATATCACAAAAATATGTTTCAATAATACTCATATACTTATATTAAATAAAAAAATAATAATTTAAACTGAACCAAGTCCAAAGATCATTATTATAGGGTGTTTCATAAAGTGGGCAATTTTTGAAAATGCAATAAATCTGCCAAAATCAAATAAATTCAAACTTTTTATTTTATTACACTTAATAATAAATATAAATTTCGATTCAATATTTAAAAATAATATCTACCATATGTCTGCTTCCACTGTCGATGCTGGCCATCATTTCCAGGACTCACATTCACACTCTTTTGCACTACCGCATTGTTTGATTGTGTACAAATTGTACGATTTTGACCTAGATTTTTTTGGGTTTCAACTGAACCAGTTTATTTAAATTTCCGTATTAATCTCAGAACTGGTTATGCACTAAGAGCTTTCTCACGTCCAAAAGTCGTACGAAGTTTACGAACAGTCAAATCTGCTCATTTTTCTTTTTTGCAATGGGTTTTTAGTATGAGTATACGATGATAGATACTGAATCACTCCATGACAATTACCTTCTAATCTAAATAATAATAAATGACTAAAAAAATTAAAATAAGATTGACAATCTTCGAACAAAAAATCCCACACATTTCAAAAACTGCGCACTTTATGAAACACCCTTTATAAATAGAATCCCCATTTTAACAGCAAAAATAGTCTCCAGAAACCATCCTGTTTTTATTATCTTACACCATCTTACTTCACATATTAACAAGTGCTAGCTTAAAATCATTATTAACCTTTATAGTATGCTGTGAAGTTTTAAATTAATATCTAAAAACTATAATATTGTAACGATATACATGTTACTGACGTGTCATTTATGCCGCACTCTGCGATTTTGCTTAGGTTAAAAAAACATAGGAACGTAGAGTACGAGTATATACAAATAATTTTTGATATAGCTAATCAGTCGAGTTTAGTTCGTGAAATAGAGACAACAGCAGTCTCTATATTTTTAATTTTATTTACTATAGGTATAATAACCTACCTTATAGATAAATCATAATTTATTCAATCGCTTCAACTCGTACTCCGCTACACCTGTGATCTTCAAAATACTACTCTCAAGAACAAGGTTACTCAGGTGATAGTGTACTGTTTAATTATATTGATATTAGTCTTATAAATAAACCTTGTAATAAGTTGCTATAATATCGTTTCTATTGTGTTAATTTATGAGCGCAGGTTATAAGTTTCTAGAACCTGTAAAATATAACTTAGAAAACTTTATTTGTATCAATTCAGTTCTCAAGACCGATTCGTTTAATGGGAATAGCTAACCAACTACTCCTTAATTGGATAGAATTAGATATAAATATCGACAGCCACTTAGTTTTAATAAACGAGTAGATGTGTTGCAATTTGATGGAGGCGCCGGGCAAACTTTATGCCCAAAATTGTTCATAATTACACTAGCACAATAACATTGATTTTAATGTCAATATAGTTAACGTCTTTATTTGTTTTGTGATAATATTTGGTTTTTAATCTATATTATTTATTATTTCGGGAAAACTTATATCAATTAAAAAAATTATATATTCATAAAAACTTATTTATTTAGCAAGTGTTTAAATATTATTTTAAAAGATCAGGTAATAATCAAACCATTCATATTTCCCAACGTACTTAGTTAATCTTAAACTTAGATAAGTCAATAGATGTTTATAGTTTAACGCCAAACAAATGTAGATCATATTTTGAAACAGTTAAATATTCAGATATCACTGAAGCTTTTTTTAATTGTAAGAATATAAAATTACCTAGTGATGTTAAACTAATCGCTGAGCTTTTTCATTAAAACTTCCAAAAAAACTTACAAAAGAGGAATTTTCGCAGATTTTCCTAAACGAAAAAATTGAATTGCTTTCTGTACTAAAATCTTTGCATCTTTATTATTTATTGTTTATAGACGATCTAATACACATTTTAGATTTTTTG